GATTCTCTTTAATTAATTTATCCTACATTCCCACCAGCACCTACGGCTGTGTTGCAGTCCTGACACGCGGCCACCCATGCATCCAATGGATGTGAAAGATTTTGTTACCTGAACACTTCCCAGCATCAAAATATATGTTTTAGATATTTGTATTTTCCTTCGTCAAGTATTTGCAAGAACCTCGTTATAAACGACATAGAGGCAGAGTTTTCTTTAGTGAAAAAATTTCACATCAAAAATAAAATTAAAAAATTTATGAGTTAAATATAATAAAAAATATTTTATTTATAATCAATTAATGGAGGCGTGTTAACCCAAATAACAGGATTTGACATTCATAACAAATTTATACGTAAAAGAGTGTGTTAAGTAAAAAAATCTCATATCGAGTATAAGAATAAAAAATTTGTAATTAAATACTTTTAAATTTTGTGTTAAACCCACGTGCACAATTTTCACAATTATATTCAATTATAAAATAAAAATTATTAATTTAAAATGTTTTAAATTACATATACATTTTTTTATTTTTTTATTAGATGAAAAGAGAAAAATATGAGTACATAATAAATAAGTAAGAAATTAATATGGAGGGACCATTTTAGTAATTCCACAACAAAACATGACTACACATATTACAGAAATTCACAGAAGTTCCAGGGTGTTCCCGTTACCTTTATCCCCCTGATCTACTCTGGAGGCAGAGTGCCATAGATCTTCGGTAGAGCAGCAGCACCTACCACAAAAACTCCATCCTAAAGTAATGGAACACAGAGGCTACATTTTATGTCTCAATTTCTTCTCAATTTCTTGCCTTGTTGTTCTTCTCTCCTTTTCAGGATCTGTTGAAGCTTACAAAAACTACACAGTTGGAGGTTCTTTGGGTTGGTTTGATAATTCTGAAAAATCTGTTGACTATCAGAAATGGGCAGATGGCTTCAACTTCAGCTTGGGAGATTTCCTCAGTAAGCACTTACTTATATGCATCTTTTTTCATTTTCTTTTTAATTTACTTTAAGTTCTACACCTTTAGTATTGGGTTTCTTGTTTCTGTCATGACAAACGGTTTTGTGGGTTTTGAGTCGATTTCCATTAACAGATCATCAATTGCCTTTCCCCATTTAAGGAATCTATTCTTGATCCATAGTAAAATAAGAAAGTACTTCAATTCCATGATCTTCCTGTTTCAGATGTAGGCAGTTCAGGGATATCTTCAACTTTTAGATTTTTTGTTTTGCTAAGGAAAAGATGAAGGAGAAGAACCTGAAACTCAAACACTAAAAAACACCTTTTGAAATGTTCCCAGAAT